AAAGAACGACTACCATAATGCTTTGTCGACGGGCGAGTGGAATGAGCAAGTAGAGATTCTGAACTAGATCTCAGAGACCTCTTAGGAATGTAAGGATGAATGAGTTGTGAAATAAACATTGGCGAGGAATTATGAAGTGCTTTGAAAACAAATAATAAAATCTTATAAGTAATTCTCTGTGTTACAGGAAGCCAATGAAGGTGCCTTAACACAGGAGTGATATGATCCTTAATTGAGCTTAAAGTGACCAAACGGGCAGCTGCATTCTGAACACGCTGAAGTTTTGAAATATCCTTAGCTGGCAATCCATAAAGCAATGAGTTACAACAATCCAGCCTTGATGTTACAAAAGCATGAACGAGAATCTCAGTTGATCTAGGATCAAGGTACTTCCGGATACTCCAAATTCTACGAATTGACTGAAGCCCGGCTTTACAGATGTTGTGTACCTGATTAGACATACTAAGGGAAGAGTCCATAACAACTCAAAGATTTCTACAGGACAGTGAAGGCTCAATGAATGCATCCCCTATTTTGATAGAAGGAGTCCAGCGAGCAGGCTTAAAACATGATGAAAAATGAATGAGTTCAGTTTTTGCATCATTCATTATAAGGTTGTTGGACTGACACCAAGATCGAACTTTGGCTATGCACAATTCTAGTCTACTGTCAGCAGCATCGCGCTGATCTGGATGGAAAATAACATAGCTGCGTATCATCAGTATATGCCATACACTTCACATCATGTGAAGCAATAATGTCAAGCAGCGGAGCTGTAAATAGAATAAATAAAATTGGCCCAACAACCGAGCCTTGGGGGACACCAAATGTAAGTAAAGTGGGATTTGACATAACATTCTTGATAGCAACAGACTGAGACCTATTCTCTAGATATGATGCAAACCATTGGTGTGCGATACCAGAGATACCATAGCGCGAGGATAGACGGTTTAGTAACTGCTTATGATTGATGGTATCGAAAGCAGCACTAAAATCCTAAAGGACCATTAAAACCTCATTATGGTTATCAAGTGCAATCTGAATATCGTTCTGGACATAAAGAGCAGATTCCACACTATGATTTGGTCGATAGGCCGATTGTCTAGAAGCGAATAAACCATTGCTGTTAAGATAAGATTGCAGCTGATTGGATGCCACCCTTTCGATGACCTTCCCAAGGAATGGAAGATTGGAAATAGGTCGAAAATTTGAAAGTTCTTCAGCATTCAATGATGGCTTTTTCAACAAGGGAGTAATGCAGGCATGCTTAAGCGAAGATGGAAATAAACCTGAGCTCAAGGAAGTGTTCATAACTTCAGTTATAATTGGTATGAGAGCAGGAAAGCAAGCCTTGAACAATTTCAATGGAAGTGGGTCAAGAGAACATGAGGTAATTGAAGATGACATTATAACCTCCAAAACTTCCTCTTCAGAGACAGCAACAAAATGAGAAAAGTCACTTGTGCAAG